ACTTTACACAATTGATGTGTGTATGGATTGTGATAAGAGTTGTATGAGTCCCTAATAAAATGATTTTTTAAAAAAGGATGTACAGCCTTGAAACCACTCCCCCCCCCAAAAAAAAGAAAGAAACTGAACCACTGAGGACTTTCTGTCATAGTCCAAGCCTGGAATACTGGTGTTTGAGGAATATGTTTACAATATAGTGTTCATCTTTTATAGGCTGGGACTTTAAAATAGCTTTTTATATATCATCTTAGGTTGGTAATGTGCTTATAGATATGTATGTGCACATGAACATGTATAAAAGGGATTAGAAAGGAATGCATCAAAATATTAATAGTGTTTATCTTTATAATGAGGAACTCTGGTTGGTGTAGTGATTATGCATTGAGCTATGATCCAGGAGGTCAGCAGTTCAAAACCACAAGCTGCTCCACGGGACAAAGATGGGTCTTTCTACTCGTGTAGAGTGACAGTTTCAGAAATTCACAGAAATAGTTCCACCCTGTTTTATAGGGTTGCTATGAGTCAGCATCAACTTGATGACAGAAAGATTTTGTTTGTTTGTTTGTTCTTTGAAACAAAGAAGAGTATGGGGGGGGGGCTTTTTTAAAGTACTTCTCTTCATTTTCTAAGATTTCTACAGTGAATGTGAACTGCTTGTTATATATATCTCTGACTGCTTGAATTGATGTTGACTCTTAGACACCCTGTTTCCAGCCTTTAAGAGCCATTACAGAGGAATACAGCATGGTCACCCATCGTGAGCGCATGAATTCCCGGTGACAGGAGATGCTCCACTTCAACAACCACTTCCTTACCCTCTTGCTGGTCCATCGACCTGTTCTTCCAGCCCTTTAGTGAGTGATCAATCAATAATCAGGACGACCATCTTCTGAAAATGGAATACTCTTGAAGTCATTCAAATCTTGTGTGCATCCAAGTAATGTTTAGTAGCATAGAAAGGTGTGATGTAAAACAACACGTTCTAAAATCAGATGGTTCATATGATCACATATTTGTGAAAATAATGTGGATAGGAAAGAGTATTCACATTAAAAAAGACATGAAGGATGAGTTAACAATATTATCTATGAGTGGTAGAATTCATAGGTAAGTATCTTTTTTTATTTATTTATCTATGCAGTCTAAACATCCTCTGATAAGCGTGCTATATTTTTTATCAGATTTAATTTTTCCTTGAGAGGAAAAATGTTCAAACTTGGTCTTCTGGCTAAGATCAAGTGTAGCAAACTCCCCTTAAGGAAAAGTTTCCACTTAGAATGACTTGTTGAGGAGAAACAAAGATGCCTAGCAGCTCCTGGCAGCCCCTAAAGGGAGCATTGTGGACTCTTTCAAGTGAAGCTTGACTTCCGTCTCCTTTCTGCTCTCAAACCCCATTGTCCTTACACCGCAGGGCTGACCTCCCCGTGACTTAACAGTGTCCTTTATGCTTGCTGGAGTTGACATTAGGCCAACTCCCCTTCTCAGCCTGTGTATCAGATTAGCAGGCCTGTGTTACAATAGGGGACTGTATCCTCAGGTGCAAACTGCTGCCCTGGCAATGACAGAGCTACTGCACGTGAGAGTGGAAGGTCCTATCAACTTCAATTAGGTCAGACAGAATTCTACCCAAAAGCTCTATAATAGTTAGGCAGGAACGTGATTCATTCAAACCCAATATTTTGGAAGTTGCACTAGAGATGTCTTTGTTCTCAGAATGACAGGTATAACAAAGGCCTATAAAATAAATGACAGTAATATGCAAAGCTTTATTTTTCTTTGACTAATAGAAGTGGTCAGATTTCCCCCCATGGGCTGGAGGAATTGAAGCCATGCACATTTCCTTTGCACAGTGCTGCTTTGGGTCTTAAAAGCTTACAAGCGGTGATCCAGGCCACAGCCATTGGTCCCTATTCAATTGGAGCAACAAAAAAAGAAAGAGTGCAGGGAAGTTGCTTAATATGCTTCTTCTATTTTGAGTCTTTGTAACTGGCACCCAGTGAAGGAATGGAGCACATAAATACACTTTAGAGGACTCAGGGATTGAGCAGTTTTGCCATTCCACTGGGTATAGCAGTGACCCATCTCAAAAGGAGAAAGAGAGGAATCCCATTGACCATCAAGGCAGAACAGTTACAGCTGATTCACATGGGATCCTTGCCCAAGGTGGTGGAAACAGCAGAGGTATCAGAGGCCACAGCACCAAGATGATGAGACAGAGCAAAGGAGCCATGCTGGGACCATGAGGCAGATCAGAGGAACAGTGGCAAGACAGTGAGGCAGAGCAGGGGGGCTTCCTGGCTCACAGAGGTAAAGACAAAGGGATCATGTGGCTGAGAAGCTAAGGACCAGGGAGACATGCCTGCCAGCATGGCTAAGAAGAGGTGCTGCAGACAAAAGAACTGTAGTCTTACGATCCGTTATGCTGTTGCCTTCCCTAATAAACCCCTGTAATTGGGAACACGCTGTGAGTTCTGTGTGGTCTTTCAAACAAATTAATGAGGCCAGCCGAGAAGTGGAGCACTATGGGAGGGGTGGTTGGTGTCAGCATAGGGTAAAGAAGCATGGAAGATGGATGTGTGTCTGACCTCTACCTTGTGGCAAACAGCCTTGGCTGGTACGGAGTTGGATTCTCCTTCTTCCTGTTGAAGCCAGAGGAGGTCAGGCCGGGGCCGTGTGCCATTTCGTCAATGAATCAGGAATTAGGAGGAGGATGTGGAACGTGTGACTAATCACTTCCACGAACAACTGCCTCCTTTGCCATAAGCCCAGAAAAGCTGGATGGCGTCTGACTACCATTGTTGAATATGTTGCTAAAAGACGCCATAGAAGACGCCTGAGCAAACGTGGGGAAACGAAAAACAGAATTTAAAATTTTCATGGGCTCTTGACTTTCTGGAACCACAGAGGCTAGATGAACCCCTGAAAATGTTGCCCTGGGAAAATCTTTAGACCCTAAACCAAAACAAGCCCCTGCCGTCTTCAAATGGAACAATAATTCAGCTTAAATTGAGAGGAGAAAGGTTTCCTTGGGCACTCTGCTCTTTATGAGCTGTATGGGATCAGAGCGACAACAGCAACTTGGAGATTGCATAGGACAGTCAGGGGAGGGCTAAGTGAGTTGATGCTAAGATGAGAGGAAAACTCAGAAAAGGAACGTCACCTGGTTGCCGAAGTCAAAGTTGGTCATCATGGCAAGCCGCTGTCCTGTGAAAGCGTTGACTTGGTCTGTGCTTTGCTATGTGTATTCTCAACAACAAATAAGTAGATTTTCAAGGAGAAGGGGAGCTCGTTGGCCTCTAGGGTTATGATGTGAGTCGGGGCAAGATGTTTTCCATTCAGGCATAGTACGCGGCCCAGCTCAGAGAAACTGCTTTGGAGAAAGGCTTTTTCCAGACCTCCAGTCTTACCCTCCCCGAGAGGGAGAGTTCCTTTGAGCAAGACCAGCAGCTGGGAAATCAGGCACCGTGGCAGCACTAAGAGCATTAAGTCACCTGAAATCCACACTGCAGTCAGGCCATCCTCAGAGATGCAATAGACGGGTGTGTGTGTGTGTGTGTGTGTGGTGTGGTGTGTGTGTGTGTGTGTGTAATCCACACTGCAGTCAGGCCATCCTCAGAGATGCAATAGACATGTGTGTGTGTGTGTGTGTGTGTGTGTGGTGTGTGTGTGTGTGTGTGTGTGTGTGTGTGTCAAGAGACAAGCCTGAGAAATGAATATTCTGACTTCATCTGGTCTGACTTTCTGGCCTAGTGACCAAGAGTAGACAAGAGTGGAGTACCTTGATCGTGAAAGAGTGCAGGTAAAAGATACTTATTCTGTTCATGCTAATGCTGGAAGAGAATTACATTTGGGGGTAAACCCCCTCTTGTTCTTTCTTTTCTTTGACAAATCATTAGCCTTGCACTTAGACACTGAAGAGGTAGAACAAGGAAAGCAATGCAGGAAGACCAATCAGAGCATGGCATTCCTCTGGTTGAATGTCTTTGACCAGCCAGCACCACTAAAGTTGGAGCGGAGACGAATGTACAAATGTGCTTTATACAATTGATGTATGTATGGATTGTGATAAGAGTTTTATGAGCCCCCAATAAATGATTAAAAAAAGAAAAAGGAAAGTAAATGTCTAGAAAAGAATGGTGGAATTTATGTATGAGTATGTTGGATACAATTGGTGTATGGTTTGTAACAAGAGTTGTAAGAGCCCCCAATAAAATGATTTAAAAAAAGACTTTAGACGAATGAGATCAGCTCAGCCTTCATTATGTTCAGCTTACAAAGGTGTGTTCTGCACCTTCCTCTGTCGCTCCCCCTGCACTAAATCTTCCTACTGTATCTAGGTTTGTCTGAAGGCACCTGTCTTCATTTTAAATTAAAAGTTTATTTCAGCGGTACCAAGATGAGCAGTGGACGGAAGACTGAGCGTGTGTGATGTCCTTGGGTAGGAAAAGAATTGGGGACTTTTTTTTTTTTTTTGCCTTTTCTCATTTTATTTTATTTATTTATTATCATTTGGGAGGGGCGGGCGCTTACAAATCGTATGACAATCCATCATTCAATTGTATTACACTTGTACATATGTTGCCATACACATTTCCAAAATATTTCCTTTCTGCTTGAGCCCTTGGAGAATTGGGGCCTTTTGAAGAAGTAAAAATCCATTGTGGATGAAGCACAAAGGGAGGGGGACAGGGAGGAAGCCCAGACACAGCTGGCGTCACAGACACGGGCCAGATCACTCACAATCGCTTAGGTCTGGGTAAAAAGGGCAAACATTTGTATTGTATTCTCATTGGTAGTTTTACTCGGGAGATTGAACCCTAAAATATGCAAGGGAAGAATAACGTGAGCATTGCCGTTTCCATTTGGCAGCTCCACCACTGGGCCCTGCCGGAAAGGGGAGCCTGATCCTTCCCCCATAGACATTTGTTCATGGTCTAAGTAGGCGCATGGTCCAAGTGGGTGAACTCAGGAAATTCTTTAAGCAATTAGAAGAAAGAGGAAACCTTCTCCCCTGTCCAAAGAGGCATATGTTGCTATGAACTGCTGGTAGCCATTGTCCAATCAGAAGGGCTGGTGAGAAGATGAGACCAGCCTATGGAGGAAAGCAGAGGTGAGGGATCTGCAGAGAAGGAGTAGTGATCCTGTTCCCATTGTAAACCCCCAAAGAAGCAGCTGACTGGGCAGCTGAGCCAACACATGTCATGTTGGTTGTTACTGCTAGTGGCCATCAAGCCCACTCTGACTCATGGGGCCCATGAGCACAGACGGAGATGGCTCCCTACAGTTTTCACGGTTGCAACTTTTCAGAAGCAGATCCTCTGGCCTGTTTTCAGAAGAGCCAATGGGAGAGTTCGGGGACTAACAAATCCCAGCACTGATAAGTAAATAAAGAAAGAAAGGAAGAGAGAAGGTGGGGACAGGATGGATGGACACCAGGGTCAAATGGTGACCTGAACGTGAGGCTCTTACACATGGCCTATGAAAAAGGGATCTAGCCAGATAACCAAGAAAATTAAACCTCAGTGGGGAAAGTACCATAGTAGAGCTGTGAGACAGTCATGGAATCTGGAACTCGAAAATCCTCTAGAATCAAAGGCAGTGCAGGTTACTACACATCTTCATGTGCCTTCATCCTACACTGCTCCTGCCCTAGCATAGCTCCATGCCTCTCCACTTGGAGGTTTCCCCACTTCCAATAGCTTTCTTACCCTACCCCCCTTTTAGACTCTTTCTGTGTAATGTTCACTTACTTGCAGCGTTGGCTCACTCAAGGCACTCACACTAGCCTACGAGGGGGTACCTCACCCCCCCACACCAAAAAAAAGCTCCACTGGGTGGAGCTATTGTAGCATGCATTTTTCCTGCTAGGAGAGCATGGAGCAGCTCACTCTGAGTGAGTGCACCCAGTGGTGCCGCCTGGGAAGTTTCCCTCTGGTCAACTGCTGTGAGGTTGAACACAGCTTAGAAGGACAGCATGATGGGGAACACTCAAGTGTATGATTCGTTTTCTCATTTCAAAAAAGGTGAAATATCAATTGATGACAAACCTCATTCTGGACATTTGTCAACTTCCTGAAAAGACGAAAATGTTGATGAAATTTGTGCATTTGTGTTTGAAGACTGTCAACGGACCATCAGAGAGATGGGATAGTTATCTGGACTATCTTGGAGCTCGGTTCAGCGAATTTTAACAGAAGATTTGGGAATAAGAAGGGTCACTGGTAAATTTGTTCCTTGGGTTCTGACTGACTAGGAAAAAGAGCGTCGAGTGTGAACATGTTGTGCTTTGAAAGAACAGCTCCAAAGCGACCCTGATTTTATTTCCAAGGTCATTACTGGTGACGAAACATGATGCTATTCTTACAACTCAAAAGAAAACATCAATCCAGCCAGTGGAAGACTCCATCATCGCCTTGCCCCAAAAAAGCTCATCAAGTGAAATCAAAGATCAAGATGACACTCATTTGTTTGTTTTTTTTATGTGAGGGGGGGAATTGCATTTGGAGTTCATTCCACCAGGTCAGACTCCTCATCAAGCTTTCTATTTAGAGATTCTGAAAAGATTGCATAACACTGTGTGACCAAAAAGGCCTGATTTGTGACAGACGAGGAGCTGGTTTTGCCGCCACGACAGTGCACCTGCTCACACAGCCAGTGAGCCAGATTTTGGCAAACAAACAGCATGCTTCTCTTGTCCCAAGCACCTGACTCACCTGACCTCACTCTGTGTGACTCCTTTATGTTACACGGAGAATGAAGAGGGACATGAACGGATAGCAATTTGATGACACAGAAGAGGTGAAGAAAAAAACAAGGGAGGTGCTGTCAGCCATTCAAACAGGTAAGTTTGGAAAATGTTTCAATAATTGAATTACAGATTTAACAAATGTACTAAGTGTAGTGGAGAGTGCTTTGAAGATGATAAGGTTGTTTTTTTTATTATTTTAAGTATAATTTTTTTGTTTTGTTTTGTTTTTATTATTTTAAGTATAATTATTTTAAGTTTTTTCTTAGCACCTTTAGATTGCCTACTGACTGCATGATTATCACCCACATCTCCCCACTCAAGTCCCAGAGTAGGAATCCAACCAGCGCGGCTCTTTCTCCATGGCCGTAGCTCCTGACACTCGACTACTGCACAGACCCATGACATGACTGCGGGTGGGTCAGATGTGTCCAGAGAGGGGTCTCCCTTGGCTTCCCCATCAGCTTTCCTTTAAGGGGTCTGTAGGTGTGGAAGGCACATGACTAACACATCTATCAAGGTGGATTAAAAACAACAACAAACCACTGCCATCAAGTTGATTCTGACTCATAGTGACCCTGGGAGAAGTGGGGAGGCAACCAGCAATAAACCTCCGTCCAAAGGGTTGGCTTTACTGCTATCAGCCAAGTCTTTCCTTTGTAAAGGATTGGAATGTTATTGGTCTCTGGTGTCCTTGAAAAGACTTTCTTTGAAGCAAGAAATAATCATTTATTTCATTGGGAAACAAAATAAAGCATGCAAATGGAAATTTTGAGTTACTCATTTGGAGACTAATTGGGGTAGAAAACCAAGTCTGCAATCGAATGCACATCTGCTGCAAAGCAGAAAGTCTGAGATCCAGCCCAGTGTGGTTTTGTTCCCTTTCCTACCTTCCTCCCCGGGCTTTTAAAGCAGATGAAATGTAACTTTAAACCTAGGAGCACTTTCCTTTGTCTACCAGCACCCAATGGAACAAAAGCATCGAAGCTTCTTAGAGAAAATTTAAGAGAGCTGGGATCGCGCGACCATAGAAGCAGACTTGTGAATCCGGCATCTGTGTGGCATTATTGTCTCTTGTCTGATTTATT